CGTAAGTGGTAACGGTGAGCTGCAGCGGTCAGGTGCGCCGACAAAAACCAACCAGAATGGATTATTAATTACGATATTACGTCGACGCGCTTGCTGGAAGAGCCGACGAGGGCCGGCGAAGCGGGAAGAGGGACGGGTTCTTCCACGATATGCGTGCGCATTGTGCCGGCAATGAGATTCCCGTTGAAATCAAGCAATTATTGGCCAGTGAAATGTATTTTTCCTCCCGTCGAATTGGCCATTTTATCCCGCTGCGGCGCAAAATCGACCTTTAGGCTCGATTAAGTCCGATTTTCATAGGACCCGACACGGGAAAAGAGACCATTAATGGCACATTCCTATCGGATATATTAGTTCCCGTCATTAAACGAGGCCGAAATCCTCGAATTTCGCTCAAATCGACTAATACATGAGTATTTGTTAGGATAATTTTAGGACGATGTATGTATTTTATTCAATTTCTCTCGAAATTAATATAAATCTTTTGAGAGCAATTTTTATCAAAGCAAAATCTTCGCAACTTTTACCCCTTATTGTCAATAAATTTATTATAACAATTTAATATAACATGTCAAACTTAAAATATTTTTACGCTTCTGTTTCTAAAAAGTTGTAAAATGAAAAGGGAACAATTAACGTGCCGTTTGTAGAGCAGCTCTCGTGAAAAAGTACAACTTCATGATAAAATTGAAACATCGCGGCAGGCTGCAAGCGCATTAAAACAAATTTCGCCTGGGCGTTTTATTTAAATAATGACTGAGACGCTCTTTTTACGCAATCGACACTTAAACGAAAAAGAATGCAATCGATGCGGAATAAAGTGCTTCACGTTCAATTAATCCAACGTGGATACATTTGTATTCGATGGCCGGTGTATTTTAATCGAATGCGATGTTCGTAACAATTATCACCGACATTATTCCGATATCGCAAGTATACGCCTTTCATCAGTTATCCGAAACACAATTATATGTGACTAAAAAAAAAAGAAAAAAAAAGAAATAACGGCAGTTTAATAATATAACTGACGCTTACTAATTAGCCAAAAATCGGCGTCTCTCTCGACGGCGGGCGTTTCATTTGTTATCAACCGTCCAAGAGGCTTAATGAACATTTGACCGTCGTTAAAGGCACGTTCACTTCCATCCATGGCTTGTAAAAACTTCAATTTCCGACCGAACTTCCACGGATCTACTCAGTTTCGAAACTTTGGTAACTTCAACATCCATTTCTCAGTCGAGTCACCTCATTAACTTCACCTTGCAATTTAAATCTAGATCTAATTTCGCTCGGACCGTCCCCAATATCTGCCGCGAAAGTGACGCGATCGTTAGAATATCCTCAAGTGTCGTTTCCGACCTCCGCATCTTCGTCATTTAATTTTTCCGGTTCGCGTGGAATGTCGTTGAAAATCTCTCGAAAGGACTTTTCTCCCGCTCGGGATGGAAATCTGCTTAGCATTCCGAGGGATTCTGCTTTGAAATCTGTTGGAATAAAAATTTTACGACGGAATCGGATATAACTTTAGATACTGTATCTGATGCCGCTTCTGAAATATCAGCTTTGTTTTCTCCTCTTCGCCGGTCTCTCGATCCCGGCGCAAGCCCGTATAACTTTGAGCCGCAAGAAGGAGGTCAGTTTGTAAATCTTCGCGGCGGAAGCTTAATGTCCGCTGCGCAACAATAATTATTCTATGCTCCGAAATTCTGCCGCCTTTTCGCCGAAGGAACGTTCGGCTCTATTGAGAAGAAACGTGAGAAGCAAACGTCGACTCGTCGGACGGCGTGCGCGCGCGAGGCATGCGACCGCTAATTACGTTTGTCATACCGATAATTAATAATGCATCGCTTGAAGCGGCGCGACGACTGACCGGCGAATTAAATGCATTAACGACGATAATCGGGTTGCGGTGAATGCCAAATCGAAAATACACCGGCGGGGAGTTATTGAATGCAAACGAGGCCGCGATCAATCATCCGGCTCAGCTACTGGCTTTCGACGCCCGTAATGACGTTCCGGCGCTTTGCATCGCTATCACTGATTAGGGAGGTGAAAACAAAACTCGCGCGCGCGAGTTCTCCACTCGAGAGCAGGACCAAAGAGGATTAAATAGATGGCGAAACTCGGGCTGTTCAATTTACAACGTCATTTAGCAAAACAGGTCCGTGTTTAATGTTATGAAGCGCATAAAGTTGTCGGACAATGAGCTGTAATGCATTCTACATAAGCCATTAGCTATCCATTCGGATCGCTGTACAACGGTCGTGTAATGAAAACTTGTGTACAGCCGACTTATCCCGCCGCTAAATCCAGCCGGCTGCTTTGAAATTCTAATTGCGAATATCGATTCCGCGTATTTAGGCCGCGCGATAAGCGCCCGGTTAAATATAAAGTCGGCGGTAATGACAGCGTTAATAAGAAACAGATACGCGGGAAATGTTTAGTTTCTCGTTAGAGCTGGTCGCGCGCTTGCTCCGCCAAGTATTTACATCCGCATCCTTCATCGCACGAATGCTTGAGCAGCTTGAATTTCCAATTACCGTTTCTAATTGACACCACCACTGTCCGTGCAGCGTAGAAACTTTCCGCTTCTATTTTCCATATCGCTTTGTTTCATCGTTTGCATGCGCGCTACGAAATTGCGAAATAATTCCCGTGCCACTCGAACGCGCAGATATCGCGGTCGGCGTTTCGCTTTTTCCGACCGGAGGAAAGAGAAACGAAAGAGAGAAAGAGAGAGTCGCGCACATTCGAAAGAGGAGGCGGAATGAATAATTGCACGTCGCAAACGGCGGCGAGCCGTCGGATGGCGGATTTGATTTGCGGAAGAAGGAGCCGACGACAGTCGCGCACAACGATAACGTACGCCTCGCTGCTGATAGTATGCGCCACGTTAACGATATCCCACTGCTGCTACGTCTTCCCGAAAGGTACTTCGGCGCGTGTATCTCTTCATTTCCCATTCTCATCATCATCGTCGGCGGCGACGAGCGGCGCGTCGAAATGCTGCACGGCAACCGAATGCTAGATTACTCCGCGCGAAAGTATCGAAACTTCCGCGGAACTTCGGCGCGCGTTTATGCGTCTGGCGAATTAACGAGCAGACCAAAGTTGTTGCGAGCCCTTTTAGCGTGTTCGGGAACTGAAATGCAAGTTGCCTGCGCATGAAGATCCGCGACGGAGACGTCGGCGCGCCTCCTCCATCTTGGAGCTCGTGAAATTTCTGATCGATGATTCGCGAGAAGATATTCTTTCGCCTCGTCGTATTATAATTATTAGCAAATCGGTCCTGACGGAAGATTCAAAAAGAATCAATAATCACTTATTGTCCGCAAAACTCTTTTGCAAGATAAAATCCTGCCGGAAGAGTCATCTTAAAAATGCTGCAAAAAATTTTCGAATTTTCGACGCGCCGATAATTTATGCAGCAACTGAGCGCAAACTATCATGTCCACTTTTCTCGAGAAATATATCCCGTCGGTGTCGGAAATATTCAGTCGGGGACCGCAAATTCCGCTCGTACACGCGCGATAAAATTTTAACAGAGCACAAAACCGCATAAACTCTTTTGGCTTTGGCCCTCGGGGAGAGCCCGGCCGGGTTAATGATCCGGCACGCCGCATCCGCGCGCCGGCGTCCGTCCAGGACACGCGCGTCCATTTTTCCGCTGCCAAAAATGCGGCGCCGGCGTAAATTTCGTCGCGAATGAATCCCAGCGGGTGATAGTTTATTCATTGCGAATCGCGCGGATTTAATTTCACGGCGTGTTACGCCCGTACGTACGTACGTACGTTTTCCTGTAACGTCCGTGTGTTTACAGTCTGCAATTACATTTCGACGGCGGCGTTGGCGGCGTTGACCCGCCGTTACGGAAAAAATATCATTGATTAAGCCCCGCGGACCGCGAATCGCGGATTTTTCGCTCGTGCGTACGCGCGGTCAGTGAAAAAGCAGATTCCGCATTTTATCCTCTTTGGCCGATAAAGTCAACGTCGCGCTATTATCATAAAGAATAAAAGTCCAAATAGAATTTGAAATAATTGTCCATACGTTTCGTACTTTGCGTATCTTTTGCCGGCGTGAAGAGCGTTTTGTTAAAATTATTATCGAAAACGTATAATTAAAAGTAAAAAGAAGAAGTTTCGTTATTTAAGTGCGCCACGTCTTCGGAGAGTTTCTCAAGGAAATATTTACGAACGACTGCGGCACATTTTCAACTAATTGCGTCGAAGATGCAATTCCTGAATAGACATAGCTGAAACATGTTGACTCTACGCGCCGGAATGCAACATTTCGCGGGAAGCGTTGGGACGAAGGATTACACGCCGCTTGACATTTCCGTCGTAAACTGGATGCGGCAATTCCAATCCGCAAATACGAGAGCATTAAATCCTACGTATCGCCGTGATTGTCTTCAGCAAACATACGCTGCGGTGAAGCGCATTGATCCTATTCGTCATTGGCTTTCGTCTCGTTACTTCGAAATCGAAGCTGTCAGCAGCTTCCATCAACGGGATTGACCGTAACATCGAACTGCTCTCGTCAACGGATTATCGCGCCATTACCAATTCGTTTCCGCGTGCACGCGCATTACCACGCGCAAAATAGGAAAGCCGTGTGTCCTGCAGAACGCAGGTCTTGCGTTCTGTTTTTACATCAATAGAACATGATAAGCAAACTGTTTAGCGGTTGAAATTTATTTGTGAGATGAAACGACTTTTCATGAATCATTTTAAATATCAATTTTTTAAATTACGTCACATTGTTGCAATTAAAAACTATTTTCAACAAATGTTTAATGATCGATTATAAATTAATCTACATATATTTCACAATTTAATATTTTAATGTCTTGTCAAAACAAATTAGGTCGTTCAAAGACGGATACACAAAAGTTAAATATTGAATATTTTAAATATTTTTACATATCAATTTCAAATATTATTGCATATCAATTTAATCGCAACGTGCTCGACTAATTTCGGTACTTTCTTTTGCAGAAATCAAGGATCCTTGCACCAAGCTGAACTGCTCGCCAGGCTCGCACTGTGTACGAAGCAGAGACGGCAAGGAGGCGACCTGCGAATGCCTGGAATCCTGCCCAAATTTAGGGGATCACGAGGGATCGGGACCTGTCTGCGGCACGGACGGGATCGACTATCCGACGCTGTGCGACCTAAATCGAGCCGCTTGTGCGAAAGGTGCTAACATCACCGTGGCATTTCGTGGTAAATGTGGTAAGTGCTTCTCTGCATATTATTGCAGATATACGAGGCCCTCGAGTAAATGTTGTCAGCGTTTTAAGAAAAAATAATTTAATATTGAAAGATTTACTTGTGACATTTCGTCCAAACAGTTGTTGCGTTTAGCACAATTTTATCTCAGCGGTACAAAGTGGATCTTAGAACAACCTCAACCCCAAGCGCAAATTTACAAATTTTAGTGTATCTATTTTATTAATTAAGATAATCTGAAACAATAAATTAATTAATTAATGATAAATACATATAAATTAAAATAAACTGACGTACATAATTAAAACAACCCTCGAGTTTGTTAGGATTAATTAATATTAATGATTGTTCAAGATTTAATTAAAATAAATTATCGGATTAAGACTGACAAATTTCGGTGAAGCTTGAGATTAGAACTCGCAAATCACTTTTAAACAGTCTGAAATTTTTTTCAATATAATAAAAATTGCCGATATTTTTAACTTATTTTTTAGTAAAATTTATTTTAAAGGAAAATATAAGATTGCGCACATTATTTGTATATCACACTGTAAACTTTGATCACAGATTTTTAAACGGGGCATTATTTCCCATTCGGGCAACACTTCATTGTTGAGTGTGTCAACAAGTTACGTCTCAGACAAATCACTGGTGTGAACAAATCTACTTAAACCGCTATTCACTATCGCTTTTCTCCTCATATTTCATTACAATTATTTGCGTTTCGGCTAAAGCGATCCGTCACGCGGCAGGGAGACTCCCTTCCAGCCAACTCTAACCACCTCTTAACCATCTACATCTTTCCTTTTCCATGCGCACCCTCGAAATCTCCTCTCTATACAAGACGTTTCACAATTTATTCGCTCTTTGTAAAATTACTTTGTAATTCAACAATCCGTCAAACTCGCAATCAATCTTTCAATTCTCTGATATAATTCTAGCAAATCTAATTTCGGTAAAAAATATCGTTTATCTACTTAAAATATCTTAAATTTCGTCCGTTAAAATAAAGCCTTCTTGATATTAGTAAGAAGAGCGAGAATTTTATTACTAATTTACACTGAAAGTTTATCCCATCTTATGTTACACATTAAATATTAGTAGCAAAACACAATTAAATGTTAACGCATTGAAGCGACAAAATATCGTTGGCGAAACTACTTCCATTTCTCCTCGATGGATCCACACCGTGCAGTCTGAAGTATCCTCTATATCTACCCCTTAATACGCCATATTCCACACAGCTGTCATCGTTCGTGTCCACAGGTAGTCGTAGACACACCCACGAACGAGAGAGCATCCCCCTCTCGTCCGTCCTCTCGTCTCTAGCTCCCCATCTCCCTACCACGGAAGCAGTACAAACTTGGCAGGCGTTTAATCAACCGAGTAGTAAAGACAAATGTTTGATCAGACAGGTAGCTACCGAGAGTAGGCCGTGTTTGCTTAGGATTAGGTAAGTCCATCCTGCTCTTCCCCTCCTACGCTCCTTCACACGGCTCTCGGCCGGGCTCTTCTTCGTAGCACTGTGCATTCCAGCACAGTAGACGATAACGGTTACGGTAATCGTAGCTGGCGGTTAACGAGCTGGTTAAATACGTCGCTGAACAATTCCAATCTGCGTTCCTTAGGAATAACCATCGGGGACATATGGACGTAAATGGCGCATAGAGTTGTGCAAACGGTGAATTTTCAACAATTTTATGGTAAAGAAGAAACTTTCAACAATTTTATGGTAAAGAAGAAACTTTCAACAATATATAATTTTAGTTCATTAAGGGAATCCCGGAGTCGTCTGTTTTACCGATTTCTTTTAAATAGACTATACTTTTTTTTGGCTGTGTAGAATGAAAAATCCTTTTTTGCAATTAAAGTACATATGCTAATACAGGATGGACGGTCGATTTTAAATGATTTTTTATTCCATGCTGCCAAAGAAAAAAGAATTTTACGAAAAATAGAAGGTAAAACAGGTACCGATCTGTTTTACCTTCTATTTTTCGTAAAATTCTTTTTTCTTTGGCTGCGTGGAATGAAAAATCCTTTAAAATCGACCGTTTAATGAGTATTAGCATATGTACTTTAATTATAGAAAAGGATTTTTCATTCTACACCGCCAAAAAAAGTATGGTCTATTTAAAAGAAATCGGTAAAACAAAATTCCACATTAAATTTTGAAAATGATGTATAGTTGATTCGAATAGTCGATGATCTGTTTACGCAAGACAAACAATAGACATTTTGAATTGTTTGATCATCACCTTCTCACTTTTACACGATTTTAAAATATATATTTGTCCGCAATCGATTAAAATAATAATCTAATTTTATTATTAATAATCCGAAATTAAAAACATAATATAGAGCTTGCGTAAAAGAATACAAGATTTTTTACACACAGCAAAGCGTTGTAATTTTGCAAGCTTGCAAAGGCAATATTTGAAAATAATAATCCTTGCACCAAAGTAAATCCGCCGCGTTCGTCGTACGATACGATCTATCTTCTTGGGGCTTAATAACGGCCAACGATGTACACGAAAAAAGGAAGTGTAATAGAGATGTAGAGGGCAAAGAGCGGTGGAGAAGTCGAAAGGGAACGGGCGGCCGCCGGAAGTTTACAAAGATGAACGTCTTCCTCTTTTCGTTCCACTGTTTCTGTCTTCGTATTATATCAGGAACAATGAAACGCAATATCCGGCCAGGAATGGCCGAAGGAGAATGGCAGAGGGCCGATGGGGGAGGAGAGAGGAGAAGAAAAGAGAGAGAGAAGGCTTTCCCTCAGCTAGTTCTCGTTGGGCGGAAAGCCTAGTACAACAATGGAGTTGCCCTTTTATCAATCGGCGCCAGTTGCGACCCTTTTAAACGCCGGAATCAATAATAAATTCGCCCGTAAAGTGCCATCTTGCCTCGCGAAATCTTCGCGAATTTCTCGCAGCGCTCGCCCACCCATCGTCTCGTCGTCTGAGACGTGAAGCGGGGTAACTCGAGGCATGAATCTGAAGTGATGGTGCGACGATAAATCAAATTAACTCCCCGAAAGTTTTGAGACTTCTCAGCCCTGCCTTGCGCTAGCTTAGCTACTATTTCGTGGTTGCGATTGAACGGAAATCGTACGACGAGAAAAAGAACAGACGAGATCGAATGCTGGCGGGAAAGTGAAAACATATACTTCAGAGGCAATGTTGTCGAATCCGTCATAATTATCGATTCTTCGCGTAAGCTTCTTTTATTAACGTCGAGTGAATGTAAGAGGAAAATATATGGAGCCGAGAATAATTGGAAAAAATTAAAAGAAATACATCAATATTTGACGAGGGAGAAAAATCGTGTTCTGTTGGTTCACTTTTATTTCAATGAAATTTAAATTAAATCGTCCTCGGCTTTTTCTTTCGTCACGCTCGCTTTTATTGCCGCTAGAAGTTGCCAATGCTATTATAGAAAAATTACCACCATTAATAATGACAACTTGTCGATTAAATTTTTATAGTGCTTCCTTTTACGAATATTTTCCCAACTCGTTTGCGTTTCCGCCTCCTCTCTCGGGTGAGTTTTTTTTTTTCCCCCAACATTCTGTAAATGGAGAAGGCGCCTTTATCATCTCCATCGAGCTCGCTACGCACTTCTCCTCCGCTTTCGCGAGAGAGACGCCTCGCCCATCACGCGTGCACACAAACTACGGCAAAAAGGGAAAACGCGCCTCTATTTTCTTCATGCTCGAACGTGCCGAAATAAGGGTCGGCCGGGAAAAGGTAGAGTCGGCCGTGAAGGAACGTCGAATTCTAGAGACATGGCACCTCGGAAATGGATTCAACTAAATTCTCACACTCGCCGAACCAAGTCGAGCCGGAGACGTTCAGCCTTTCGCACAAGAGTGAGAAGACGAAGAGAAAACGTTGGGCGAGAGGGGTGGAAGGGGGAGGGGGGGGGGTTGGTAGTCCCGAGACAAACCGACAGCAAATGTGTTTATCCACGAAACCTTTTGCAAGCGGAATTCAACGAGCCGGAAATTTCGGCGGTGTCAGTTTGAGAAAACGATTTCCACGTACGAGTTTCGAGGAACGGAGCGCGACAACTCGGGGGAGGCAACGAGGACGGGAAAGGGTGGAGCGGAGCCATCTCGTTGGAAACGACTTCGCGCCGAAGGCGCCGTTGGCTCGGCAAGAAACGAACGGGTGTAAGTAACGGGCGCGATCGGTTATCGATGGTCATGTAAGTGTCGATAACGGCGGGATTGCGCCGCGCTGGTTAAGGACGACGGGAACGAACGCCGTCCCCGTTAAAAACTGGCGGAGACAAACGCTGATACCCCCGCGCGAGAGATTCGCGCGGGGTCCGATTACAGAAATGGAAATAAATACCCGCGCGGTTATCCGGACAGTTCAACGGGGCACGCGGGAAGCCGTGTGCACTGACGCGCTGAGAAATATCGCCGCTATAAATGAACATTAATCGTGTTATTACATCACCGCCATCGATCTGATGAAATTGCTGAGAGCAAATCGGCAAATGCGGCTCTGGACAAGAATCGTTGAATGTAAAAACTTTCGATAAAAAAGAAAAAGTAGATTGCAATTAACGGACAATCGTGTTATCGTGACGATCGCGGTCGATCGAATTGCCAGTGAATTAATCGCGGTGTGAAAAGAACTCGAGCAGCGAAATATTTCATGCGCAGATCGCGTCACCTTAAACCTCGAGAATTAATGCTATCGTGTCTTTACAATAGCTATCTCCGCGTGACGCGAAAGCATTTCGTGGAACGGATATCAAGACGGCCGCGCCGCTCTCTCGCCGACGCGCTCATAAAAAACTTATCTTTACACAGCCGAGCGGCAATTTGTCCGACTTGTTCGCCGGATCGAAGTCAGCCGAAATTTTACGCCGCCCGCAACGCCGTAAATTGCGTCTTGTGGTCCCAGGCTCTCGAGGCTGACATCACCAGCCCGGGTGCTCTTACGCGCTCATGTTTACGCGTCCCGCGCCTAAGTGCTGTAAGAAGAGAGAGAGAGAGAGAGAAAGAGGGAGAAAGGGCTTAGCCCGGGGCCGTGGAGACGAAGAACGGACGTAGGTAGATCGAACGGAAGCGGGTGTTGCGGAGGGCGGGGCGTACATCAAGCCGGAAGTACCGTGGAGGTGCTGTTAACATAAACCTAGTCATTGCTCCCCAGGCATAATACCTTTATATCCCGCTCACGCGTAACGTCGAATCGTGCCCCGCCTCGCCCTCGTTGCGTCCCCCCCCTCGTAGTTTTCTGCGTCGTGAGCGCAAATAAAAGCGTCGGCATGCTTTATGCAACATAGTTAAAGGATACGCGCGCGAGAGCCGACGGGAAAACGCGCGGAGGCCTTTCGGGGAGAGATTTTCGCGCTTCCGCGGTTCTTCTCGGAAAACGGCCGCGGCGTTTCCGCGGGATTCTCTCGTCGTGTCGCAACTATTTGAGCGCGCCGCAGCGCGCGTTTATACGAAAGTACGTATGAAAGTAGAAAAATGCACGCGCGAAAATATGTGATAACGTGGGAGACTCAAAAATGCGAGGGTTTTTTTCTTTCGATTTCATCGCGTGACGCGATACGTCTTTTCGAGGAAAAAGACAGATCTAAACTGCATAAATTCTAAAGCTACGAGTGAAATGGATGGTGTTGACTTGCTCTGTCAGTGAATGAAGGCGACGGGCAATTTACAAGGCTTTTACCGAGTGCCGAGCGATTTTGAGAGATATTCCCGCTTGTAGTACTCGTAGAATGCGGGAAAGGTATGCACACGGTATCTGCACATGAAAGAGGAAGACGACTAAAAAGGATCGATATTTGCAGTTGCTTTAGCGGAAATAACTAGAATACACTCTCGCCACTGTGCTCTGTGTACATGAATCGATTGCTTCGCAAGCTTCTTCTCCTCGCCGAGAGGCACCTCGGGTCTTTAATTCATCAGAAAGCGATAACTCATCTCGAAAGAAGCTTTCCGGTGTTTCCCCTCATTAGAGCAATTCTTTCACAATATTAATTCGCCTCGCCGAACAGCAATGCGTTATCGCGCTTCGTCGAATATTTCGTGCGCAGCGCTGCGAAAAATCGCCCACGCGCGAATTGATATTCCGCACACGGCGTCTTTCCTCCGCTAAATTAGACGATAATTCGTGAATAATACGGGGGAATGTATGAAGGGCCCCATCAGTCACCCTCGCGTCGCGCGGTACGCCGCACCAACATCGGCATCGTCCGTCTTTGTACGCCGGGAGATTCCCGCCGTCGAACGGCAAAATCCGTCGTCCATACTGAAAAGGTCTTCCAGCGGCTTTCACGTCGTGTCCCGGCCCGATAATACAAAGAAATCCGCATCAGGGTAATGTCGCGTGAAGTTAACGCGCCAGCGTAACCC